CTGTGGCCCAACTTTCAATGGCTCTGGGGGGCTTACGGACTGTTTTTAGCCCCCTACTTTTCAGAGGCCTCTTCTCCTTCTTCACCTGGTGGATTGCTGCCTGTCTTTTCTCCACCTCTATTTTTGGCCTCTTCTACCACCAGTATCTAATGGCAGCATAACAGTAGCAGCAAACTTAAAATGCGGCATTTAAACCTCTACAGTGCTACAACCGTATGTTGGGAACGGACTGACAAAGACTTTATGTGGGGCTACCGAGGCCTACTCGTTACTCTGCTCCTCCATTCTTACTCCTCCTCGTCTCTGACCGCCTCAGAACAACTGATCATATCATCAAAGCTCAGCTCTTGGTTTTATTCCCAGTGCTTCCTCCACAGATGACTGTGAACTTTTGATTTTACTTGTAGAAAAGTGATGTTTTTATTCATTTGAGCAGCAAATGCTGGAAGTCTTTATAAGGCTTATAATCATAAATTGTGAGAAATAAATTAATTTCATCACTAAAGTGACATAGCTTTAAAAAACAAATACTACAGACATCTTTATGAATTTGAATGATAAAACAGTTGTTAATTGTAGTGGACACTTTTTAAAATGTGGACTTTCATGCAATTCTGCATTGTTTTATAGAAACTGGGGGCTAATCTGATTTATTCACAGCAGCCCTCATGTTATAAGTCTTTAATCTTAAACGGATTCAGATTCATGGTTTGTAAAAAAAAAAAAAAAATAATAATAATCCTAAATGTAGCTTCTTTACTGCTCAATGCAGATCAGTCAGAATAGGATTTAAAAATGTTATCCTAACCTTTAAACAGTCTCTTATTTTAATGGTTGTCAGGTCATTTTTAAAATAGAGCATCAGGCTCGGGATGGTATGAAAATAATAACACCACAGTTTGAATAACATACTGTAACATGAATATAAAAAAAAAAAATCAACAAAAAAATTTAATAGATAATCTTTTTTTTTTAATGTGAAATCAGAAGTTCCTACTGCTGTTAAGCTCTCAGAACATATTGTTTATAATGCTACTCTAGGCTCCATAGCGCTGGAGAAATGGCTCCTTGGACACTTTCTCTGGTTTTAAAGGAATTTCAATATAAATAATAAATGAAAATTTTAGCAGTTTTTAAATCCTTGCTACTGACTTGGTACCAGTAACTTGATAATGCCTGAGTTATTTGAAAACTTTCTGGAACTATGGAGTATGATTGGGCAGACACAGACATGCAATCTGGGAACCAGGGTAGATAAAGCCTCAGTTTAAATTAAATGCATTGTAAAGAAGCTACATTTAAATCTGGATTGTAGTAATCAGACACTTTTTAATGTCTTTTTAGTAGTTTGTTTTTTCTGTATTTGTTGGGAAACTGATATCTACCTTACTTTGTTCACCTTTTTTTTGTCTTGCTTAAGTGCTGGTCATTTCCGCCCTTCTGTAAAAAGCCAATAAAAAGATATATCTCATGATTATGACTTAGCTATAGCTATGACATCATTATGAGATATAAGTTGTTGGTTTTTCCGATAGTGGCTAAAACAGGCTTCCACATTTCTCCCCTTCACCAGGACTTAATGTTTCTATACCTGACTTTTTCAGGATATGAGAAGAGGTCGTTTTGTCGTGAGACGTGTTCAACATGCATCACTTTCTGTCCAACTTAGGGGCTATATTTACCCACTTTGACGACCAGTGATTCAAATAAATACTCTGTAATCCACTCATAGTGTACTGTAAGAAAATGTCTTGTGACTTTCCCTGCTGGGGATTACTCATATTTCTTATGGTTTTAATCGCAGATCATAATGTGTCATAACTGGCCAAAAAAAGGGATCTAAACCTCCAATATAATTATATATTTAACTGTTTAATTTATATTTGCAATAATTAGTTAACTACCTAATGAATTTAACTGTTACTTTATATCGAACACATGGATGTAAACTGGTAGAAGGTTGAGACCAAATGACAGTTGGTACAAAAATGGGTTATTAGTTCTGTCTTTAAATGTTAGAATTTTTTTTTCTTTAACAAAATGACCTGCTTTTTGTACCTGAAGTGTCTCACATAGTCTTAAAACTTTATATTAAGGACCAGAGAATCTTAACTGAGGTTGAAAGCATGGCAAACAAGAGCTGTTCTCACAAAAGAGCAAAGTGAAACCATACTTCCTTGCCCTGAAGTTCAGGTGGTTGACTGAGTTTAAAAAGAATAAAAAGGATTTCTGATGTATTTAAAGTTTAGTTTGTTGCTTTCATGGTTTTACGTGAGCCATTTTAGTAGGTGTGTGATGAGATGAATCGGTTTTATGGTAGACCAACATGGGCTCTGTCGGCGCCCGGCGTCATGTCCCTGTCTGCTGGTTTCGTGTTCTCAGCTGTTCGTCAGCGCTATACTCAAAGGGCATTTTGATGAAAAGAGTCAGCTGCTGTCAAGATTGCACAGTTTGTTCCGTTTTTTTTTTTTCTTAACCATCAAATTGAAGAACATGTTTGGTTTTGTTGGTTTTTCTGTTTGTTTTTTGGTTCACAAATATACATTTTAAAATTGTGCCAAGTAAAGATCGTAATACCCAACAATCTTTTGCTAAGTTGCTGTAGGTTGTATTTCTGCTATTGTGGGAAACTGCACTGGAACACTGAGGCCTTGAGTTTTCTGGAGATCTGACTAGGTGCATTATGGAATTACTACTGTAGTTTTGGTTCAAACAAAGACTACAGGTGTTCACTAGATCTTAGTGGAAAGTGTTAGGTTGGAAGGAAAATATGCGCACAAGAAGTCAATGTGCTGTTGACTTCCTGGCCAACATGGTTGCCCGGTGTTGTTAGGAAGTAGGACGCAAAGTTTTAAGTTCTCTTTGGTCCAACTCTTTACGTTTGAGCTTCATTTTTGATTGAGCTCTGGTTTATGAACTCCAGTTTTAAGTGTTATACACAACTACATATTCTAGCAACACCATATCAATTTCTTTTTCTGTGTTGGCTTTAGTTTGTATCTGTTGGAAACAGTGGGGAATATGCTCATAGTGAATGTATCAGTCCTGCCTAATTTTATAATTAATTGATTTGAGTTGATTTTACCCCATCATTAACTCCACATCACTGCAATCCACACATTCCTTGTCTAATGTGTTTAATCTGAATCTAATGTTGGTATTTGACCTAATCGTTTTTTCCATTGATTTTGGGGGGTTTTGTATTTATTTGCTGAAGCCTATGAACATTTCAAATTAATTGTTTTTTATTATTGAAGTGCAAAATGGCTTTTTTTTTTTCTTTGTGTTTGACAAATCAGTGACAGATTAACTTTTATTTAACCTCTTGGTCTGGGTAGTTGAAATATATTTAGGATATTTTCAGAATTCACTGTTCAGATGAATGGTTCTGATGATTTTCAGGTTGTTGTTTTTTTTACCAGTGAAAATGTTTATTACTTATTTTGGATTCACAAACTAAAATAACAGACATTGTTTCATGTATTTATTTCTGCTTTAGATTTTGTCTTGAATAAATTATCTTCTTTACTATGTCACTTTTTTTTTTATTTTACACGTCATTGTAAGGTCCTCGGATGTGGTTATGAGGTCCTTGGATTCGACTTGAATTGAAATCCCTAAATATAAATTTTTTCCCCTTTTTTCATTATAAACTTTGTTACCAAACAACAAAAGAAACCAAAATGTGAATATAGTTATATATTTATATATATGCTTTTATTTTATCTATAAGATCATTCAGATCATCACCCCAGAGCAGATTTAATGTAGATTAGGTTGTAATACAGACTTTTGAACCATCATGCAACAGCTTTCTAACAGCAAGTTTTGGAGATTTTTAACCTCACCTGACTATTCTCTTTGTGTTCTTGTTACCACAATTCTGTGGGAATGGGAATTGTTTTGTTTCAATAAAAACAAAAAATTGGTAAGATTTTAATATATCTTTAGTAGTGAGGGCATGGAATGATTTTAGATCTGTTTAGGTACGGTTACTTTTCTCCTCGAAGATTTGAAGGGACACAGCAGACCACTATACAAAGTGACAGACAAAAATAAACATGTTATTCAACTCAGTAAACAGGAAATGGGAACTCTATATGCCCATTGGTAATATGAAGATGGTAAACAAAGCAAAGCATGTCAGATTTATTTTGAATGATTGTTTAAAAAAAAATAAATGGATCCTTTGTTTAGGGATTGTCCTCAATAGCACTTTCTCTTAAGATGCATATTCACCTAGAAAGCTCCACTTGGTGAGCAAAAAGCAAAGATATTAGAGCAAAGTTACCGAGATATAAACATAATGGACATATATGAGCGATATTTCAGAACCTCCGTATCTGATGCAAGAGGTTCAGTTAGGAAAATGAAATGGTAATTGTGTTAGACCTTTGTGTGTATGAAATGCTCCATGTCCTTGTTCAATCTATAATATTGATTTAAGCAGTCAGTGGTCATTGATTTGCTTTTCCTTGTTAACTGTCTCCATTCTCCAGGGAAAGATTTGTAGACTTAGGGATAAAATGACAAACACTCCCAAAACTCCTCTCAATGCACGCTGTTCGCTGGGAACAACATTGGGGCAGTTAATACAGGACGAGTGGCATTGTCCACATGAGCGGGAAAACTGGGCCGATGCATTCACTCATAGGTAGACAGATCAATAAGACAGCCTCCAAAACAAACCACTGGAGAGGCTCCTTTATTCCTCTTGAGTGGGGCCTTTTCACAGAGGGCCCTTCTTCGCAGCGCGCCGTGGAGCAGAGACCCCCACCCCTTCATCACCACAACACAGCATGAGGAACCGAGAAGCTTCTGAAGGGGTCGACGCTACAAAAGCGGGCTTTCTGTCTAGCACAGAAGGGCTAACCCATCCCGATGTTGATTGTGAGAAGCAGCAGCCATACTTACTTGATTGACCTGACCTTCTCTCATGAATGGTCGAAAAGAGCACTTTACATTGCTTGACCTCCTGTTACCAATTTTTAGGTGTTTTTTTCCTTTTCAGTGATACTTTCAATTAAAAGAACGAAAAAAAGCATTTGGAAAGGTGTTTTTTTTTCTCAGAATGCCAATTATAGAATGGCTGAGTGAGATCATAGCAATCTTAATATAAAACATTCAATCACTCTTTTTCTAAACCATCACAGCAATTAAAGCAGGAAAAAAGTGTTTACTGGTGTGTAGTATAACTGACCTTTTTTTTTTCTTGCTTTCACTACTAATTAGTTTAATTTGTTATATATTTACAAGAAAATTGATTAATTTTTTTATTAGACATCCATAATAATTGAAGATATGTAAAAAAAAAGTATTTGTCATGTTCATAAAGATTTCATCTAAAGGTTAAGCAATTTCAGACTAATAAACCATATTTGCAAAAGATTTACCTTCAGTAATGAGTGAAATTTGACAGTAGGGATTTGATTTATTTAAAAGAAAACGAGATTCAAGGTTTTTGTCATTTGCATAGTCATAAAATAAAGCACTAAGAAACAAGGAAGAGTTTTGTTGCATTTTATTAAAAAATAAATGGAAACGACTTTTAAAATATACATAAACAGTATGAGAGTGTTTTAATAAAAAAGGAAAAGGAAAGCAGACTGCAGGCCGTGCCAAGAACATATTGGTGTATTGATATCAAGTGACATATATGTTAAACACATTTTTAAAAATACATTTAATAAATATTACTACATGGTATTAAACACATTTTCAGTGCCATATTTAATTTGTTTTGTCTTTCAGTGATTGGGAACATCAGTTAATATGATACTTTTTTCCCCCAACTTATGCCAGAGCTTATTCACCAACGGCCAATGTTGAGGCTTTCATTATTTATTTCACGATTAACAGAGGGTCCAGCACCAACAAAGACGGAGAAAGATGGGCAAAGAAAATGTGACCCTGTCCTTGCAAACATTGTTAACATCTCAACTTAGTTAAAACCTAAAATCTGCTGCCTTGTGCCTGAGAAATGAAATGACTGGCTGCCCTTGAAGTAATCACCGCTCCTCTCAGATTATTTTAATCTTTGATTAGCATTGTTGGGTTTGGGGTTTCCATCCTTCATTGTTGCGTGCCTTTAATTAGCGCCACATACAGAGTAGAGATGTGTGCATAATCTTCCTACTCCAGTAAATCAAAGGCTTTCTCAAAGCAACATTTTTGCTCACTTTCTATGCTCTATTTACAAGACAACTCATAAGTTGTCCCTTTTATAAACAGCATTCAGGCACAAATTTAAATGACAGAATATTGAATTCCAAAAATGCCTGAATATTTTTTTCATGGATTCCACAACAATAAAAAATAATCAAAAAATATTTCCCTGAATGTCCCACTAAAACAGATGCCTCCTTCACAACAAAAAGCAACAGGATGGACTGCCCTCTAGTGCCACTGCCTGAGCGTGGCACATTAAGGATGGGGATGGGGGGCACACACAACATGTGCAGCAGCAGCTGAGTATCTGCTTCTGCTTTTCAGTGCCGACCAATCACAGAGCCCAATGCTAACTCGTTCATACATCAGGTTGAACAAGCTGGCGAATGCAAATGCTCTGGGATCAAGGTGTCTCCTTGGTAGTGTTGCAGCACTTGTTTCCTCCCTTTCATGTTAAAATGATGAGAGTAATAATGTGGCCGGAGAACAGGCCTCACATTGAGCCGGAGGAAGGATGAGTGTAGATGAGATCTTTGATATGGATATGTTATTGCCATTCATGCAGCAGTCTCAATGACCGTTCATTAGGAGGATTTTTGGCACTTGAGTGAATGTGGGACTTGAGCTGGAATAAAGGCGCTGCACATGATGTTGCCTGTTTCTTCTTTGAGCTACATCTGAAATAAATGATGAAATAAATAATATACCAAATTCATTATTCTGCATTGTTCTACCCACACGTGTGAGACAACCAGCTTTCCTGCTCTGCGTGCGTCCGCTTCAGTGGAGCTAATTTTCAATGTTAGATTTTATTAGGGAAATGATTCAGCCTGCATTCATATAGCAATTCCACCCCCAAGCCATCATCATATGGCGATAAGGTCAGCCAATGTTTCTAATTAAGACAACATAAATATCCGTGTCTTTGGGAATTGTGAAAGTGTTTGGAATAAGGACGATAAAATAGTGATTCATGCTCTGAATTACAGATATTTTTTCAAACAGTTGGTTACTGGAATTATATTTATTTTATTTAGATTGATATATTACTGTGCATCAGTGAGCCTATATGTATGGGTATAAACTCTCTTTGTTAGAAAGTAAAAAAAAAAAAATCAGAGATTTCAGTAATACAAGAATACCTCTCTACATATTGTCTCCTTGTGCTTAAAGAAACAAAAAAAACAATTCTATAAAAATACCTTAAACAGTTTTGGCGAAAAACTTTTTCACCGTTTGCATGTGAAAAAGGAAATTGCCCTTAAGTTTGCTACTTGATCTTGTTTGCTTGTGAGAAACGTAGATATTGACACGCTGCTGATTCAGACAACCTTTTTGACCTTCTTGCAAAAGCATGTCAGGCAGAGGATGGAGGGTTGCTGGAGTTCTTTGGAGTGGTCCCCTGGGAGACTGACCCCTGGACACCAGAGACAAACCCGTCGTGCTGCAGACACATGTTGACAGTCCGTTCACTTCTACTGTCTTTCCTGTAGGGAAAAAAAAAAAAGTTTAAACCTTTTTAGGACAGATATATGCAGACATTTTAATGCTCTCATTTAATACACATTTAATAAAGGTCATGCCCTTATCGTTTTGCATGTATAAGAAAAAATGTAGGATTTTGTCTCATTTGACCAAAGCCTCTTTGTTCACATTGTAACTCTTTTTTCATTTAGCTTATGGAAAACTGCAGAGGATATATAGCCTATCAGGATGGAACAGTTTCTATGTATAAATGTATGTACAAGAATGCATGTTGTATCCACCTTTATTATTAACATATTGACAGCTATTTAGGTAATTTAAGAGAGTTATCTAAGTTTTATTAACAAAAAATGTCTAAAACTAATATATGTAGTGGTGTGTCAATTTTTTTTTTAAATCCTATACTGTATACTAAAGTTTGTAATGTGTGTCAAAATTTATCTGAAATGTTCTTTGGGTGATTAATTGACAGTATTTTTTATGTGTGATATTACCTGCTTAAAGTAGGCTCTCATATACACCAGAAACTATAAATGATTGAATAGCCTTAAAAGGAAACTTTTTGCCTTTAAAACACTTTACTCAGGAGTATGAAAAAGGAAAAGCTTAAGAAAAAAAAACTGGCACACTCATCACTCTCAACTTTGTTTTTAAATGAAAGATTGAAAATTGCATTTCACTTCTCAAGCATTACAATGAAGACGTAATATAGAAATAAGACATTTTCTTCCATTACTCTCTCAAAAGGGCTATTATCTGGTAAAGGTGAATGCATCCTGAGCAAGAAAAGCAACTATCATTCATCTTCTGCAATGCATGGCTGTAAATTATGGCATTATCTGCACTGCCACAGAAAAGAAAGGCTGAGATGAAGAAGGGTTTTGAAAATAAAGAAAATGATGTGGGTTGAAAGGAAAAAGACAAACTGTTCTACATACACACACCCTTCGGCGTGAAGTCAGTGAAAAAGATTAGGCTGGGCCTCATCCGGTGGGGCCTGTCAGATTTATTTCCGACATCAAGGAACTCTCTCCTCTCTCCCAGTCTATATCCATCAGAGCTCTGTCTGATTTCAGTTTGGCCAGAGCTGCTGCGCTTGGAGGCTCAGAGCAGAACTTTGTGGAGGTGTGTCTGTACATTCATGACTATGTTTCAGGAGGAGTCTGTAAGAAGCAGTAGTTGCCAGGGCACAGGGCCCCTTGGCATTCTGCCATGTCTGGCATCCCGGCGTGCAGTGGAAGCACCAGTCACCAGTGGAGGTGAAAAGCAGTGACACTGAGATGAAAAGGGGCTCCCCCCCACCACCACCGTCCCGTCCTCAGATCTGTTAGAAAATAATGAAAAAGACAGACGGATATGGGGAGAAGACGAAAGAGAGACTTTTAGGAAGCGTAAAATCGCTCTCACTGTAGTTCATGTCAATATGTCTCACATTTGAAATCCTTATTATAAATTGGGGTGTGGAAAAAGAAAGGGGGATGTGTTTTCATTGTTCAGGGACATGTGCTGTCTCACACACACTGTTCCCCTTGCCCAGACGCCTGTGCCACACCACCCACCTCTGTCGTTCTGCAATGTGTAACCTAGCAACTATTTAATTAAAATAGCATCAGCAAAGATAGAGGCTTTCCCCCCCTCCCTAGCAGGGATTTTCTCCAATCTCAATGCTTCTCAGTGCACCATGAATCAAAAGTGACTCTGTGTCTGCCACTATATTGTACCGCCCCCCCTCCCCTCTTTGATTCTGCATTTGGCTGTTTCCACAAAACTAACGACTTGCTTCACTGACTGACACAATGCATGTGGATAACATGTACAGCATGAGATGTTAGAAATGATGATTTCTAATGTGGGGATTTACACAAGAATCTCACTAGACATCACTAAGAATCCAAGTTATTCACATATAAACATAAATCAAAACAAATTAGTTCACTAATTACAAGAAAAACAATGAGTATTTATGGAAATCATAGTAAGCCCAAAAATGTTTGGAAAGACATTTTTTACAACTGTTCACAACTTATCTTTATAAAATACACTGATTTAAATTCGAAACTTATGGATTTTTGAGTGAGCACCACTGATACTGTTATTTAGAGGCACTTTTTTATGATGTATGCAGAGCAAAAGAGCAAACCATCAAAAAGGTCTAAAAAAAATAGGTCTTCCAATAAAAGAAAAAAAAAAACCTTACTTTATTAGCTACAGTTTTACACAGAAACCATAAATGATGGACTCTGCTGAAGAAAAGCCTGCTACTGTATAGCTAGTTTAAGGCTAGGTAATTTTAGCAAAGTAATTGTAATATTTGGAAAAATTGTTTGATCGGCACAAAGACAGCAAAAAGTATGTTTAGAATGATAATGTTTTTCTTTTTTTAAAAGCATGCCAAAATCGAAAAGTTAAGAGGAGAACATCATGGTGTAGAACTGTCTCTCACCACATTGCATACCTCCTAAAACTAAAGGCAGGATTAATGTACTGGGATATTTTTAAACAGAATTCTAAGACAGACTATCCAATAGAGAGTTTTTCAGTAGCGCAACGATTTAAACACAATGGCAATTAAACTCTAAATGAAACAAGGTTATAAGACTGCTAGAAAGACCAAGGCAATCAATTGGGTTGAAAATTAATAAAAAAAAGCTTAGGATCAAGTAGTGTCAATGATCTGAAGAAAGTGTGTGTTAAAAAATGTGTTCAAATCATACCTGAGCAAATTATGCAACTCATTTCTGCATGCTTGTCGTCTTATTAAGCTGCCATTACCCAAAAATGGTTTTATTTAGTAGTAAATAAGTTTTACAAAGTGTTTTCATAACTAATTTCCTTTTTCATTCCACTTCACGACATATTAATTGATGTATTCCTTGTTTTTTTTATGGATTTATTTACTATTGTTAATCACTTTAGTAGTTACAACCTGTGTGAATAAGATGTGAATAGCCCAATTGAAAATAACAATACACAATGTAATCCATGCTTATTTTCAACAGTGTTTGCGGCAGACTGACTCTATGACTGAGGCTCAAAGATTCAGTGTTGGACCTTATTCTACTGCAGCCAAGGTCATCTACCTCTCCGTCCTTCAGAGAACTCAGTCGGAAATTAATAAAAAACACCTCCCCTTCAAGAGTCCTCCTCCTACTTCTCTTGTTATTCGTCTACCCTGCTTGTACCACCGTTTTCTTCTTTGTATGCCAAAACACAGCAGCGCCTGTTCCAACCTGAAAAGAGGCACCTCTTACCATGCTCTACATGTGTGCCAGGCTCGGGCAACACAGAGCAATTAGAAGAAATGTGAAGCAGCTCTACATGTCAGCGTACGCCACACTCACTGCCACTCAAACTGCATCTATGGGAAGCAAACAATGGAACAATGTTCTAGTATAGCTGTCAAAACAGAAGGCCTTGGTTTTGTTTTCTCTCATCCCTTTTTCTCACCTGTGTTGATACCCTAATGTGTCACAGAGCTGCAAAGTTAGCTGCCCTTTTCTTGATTTTCTTTAATGTCACATTGCTACCATGCAGGTCATGAACAAGATTCAAACGGGACCTTTTTAGTTCCTCTCTGTGGGAGGAACAAAAAATGCAATGCACTGAAAGTCATTGTAAATGGCTCTAATGATCCAGCATCAAAATGGGAACATTACAGGGTTCAACTCCGTCTAAGGGACCTTCATGCTTTCTTCCAAAACAATGACATATTTCTGCCTCTTATATCCTTCCCACCTTCGTTTTTCATTGTCTCTATTTCCTTTACACACATTTCCAAAAGACATTTTATATCAGGAAAAAGGAATGAAAGAGTCAGAAAATGTAAAATGGATCCCATCACATGAATGCTTCTGCCTAATAGTCACTGAGAAAATCACTCTCTACCCAATTTAAGAGGATTCTGCCACTGGACCCTTCTTTGTGTGATCTTTTCAATTAAATGTATCAGTGAAAGAAAATCCACTTGGCTTGAATATATTCAAACTTGAGCATTAGTCTGGCTTCTGCTACAGTGATAGCAAATCAGATGTTAATTAAGTCATGCTTCTAAATCAGATTTTTTATATTTGCTCAAAAAAAAAACAATTTTTGTCATCCTTTTACTTTAAATAGAAGCAAGAAATACAACAATAAAATGTGCAAAATTTTCCATCTTTCCAACTTTGTTCTATTAGCTTGGAGCAAATGCTACAAATAGATTTTAAGTTACGGTAATGCATCAACACTAAAATCTCTATTTAATATGATTTTAGTGTTGCTAAAGCTAGAGCTTTGTTGTGTTTTTCTCATATCAACAAAATTTTACATACATGCTTGGAAATATACAGTTTTTTAAATTCATATAATATTTTTATATTATTTATATTTCATGTTAGGCAAGTAAAGTTTGTATACAATCAAGAGGCAAAAAATTCAAATTACTGTACACGAGGAAAAATAAGTATTTTGCAAATGGCATACAGGCAACACAAATAATTAAAAAGAATAAAAGTGATTCATTGAAATAACATTATAATATTAATAAGGAAAAGGATAGATAAAAAATTAACGTTGGACTGTAAACTTAACTAATTTATGTTAAGATATCAGAGTCAGAGACCACATTTAACAAATACATTTTTATGCCCTGTTAAAGATACCTGGAGTTCAGTCCTTTTACAGTTTCCTGGGAGTTTATTCCAGATTAGCATAAGAACTAAAAGCTGCTTCTTCATGTTTAAATCAAACTACTACCTCTAAGGGGAAAAAAAAGGTGAACATTTATTCTTCTTTATGTTAGATTACTTTAGAAAGTAGACTTATTCAGAATTGGAGGTCATACCTCAAAGAAACCAGAAATCAGTATTGAATTAGAAAATAAAAAGAATAGCAATGAAAATTGTCTAAAAGCCTTTACTTAGTAAAATTACAATAATGCACAGTTCAAAATATAGATACTTAAATAGCATTTTCTTTCTTTGGAAAAACCAAAAATCTCCATTTAACACATCTTTAAAATGCTACTGTGTTCTCCCCTTTAAGCTGTAGTCCATATAGCTTATGTAAATCTTGGAGAATGTGTGTTCACACAGCGATTTGCATAATGGCACATGATTTTGACAGAGAGAGGGACCCCTTGACATTTTTATAATGGCACTTTACAGGGTGGACAAGGTTGGGGGCAGGGTGGTAAAATGCAAGGCAGTAGTTATGGAACAAAATATTGGGGCCTGTAGAGTATCTGCAAGCCAAGAAGTGAGACAGTGATTCCATGGTAGGTTGTGTTATTAGGAACGTCGTGTTCCATATCAGGACTTCTAAAATGAACAGAGATGTAGACGTATGTGTGTCCTCATTTGAAATGTATTCCATTTTTAAAAAATACAAAAAATGAATTGATTTTATTAAACTTCTGATTTTCTATATCTATATTATTGCTAATATTTGGTCATGTTACATTCTAATTTCTCACGAATTTGTGTCGCACCAAGTATCACATATTTATGCTCTTTAATGTCGGAGTATCTCCCTCCCCCACCACTACCACACACACATATACACACACTCCTCCCTCCAGGCGTAACAGTTGGTCTCTAACAGATTTGCACAACTACCACATCTATGGAATACGTCAAGGTCAGTAAGGAGAAGAGCATCCTCTTAGTATGATGCTGTTGGCACTGTTTGTTTTTTTCAGCCATGTATGGTAAAAAAATGCATTTTCCACATCTGTGACTGCCACATAGAATTCATGGAATTTGTATGGCTTTATTTCAACTAAGACTTTCTCTTTTCCACTTTTCAATAGTGGACACATTTCTGCTGTTTAGAACTATTAGTGGATTTTTGCAGCTCCCATGCAGCTCTTGGCTGCTTCTCTGAATGTGCTTCTTAGAGCAAAACCTTTACCAACCAAAGTTTAGCATCTGGAGCAGTTCATGCCAGTGTGAACCCAACCTGGACCCTAAAACAGACCAGAAAACTATACCCTGCCAATCTTAGCGCAATATATCCCAATCTGTGCTGTTTGCTTGCGCTGTGAATGCATACCGTCCCAGCAGAGCAGGAAATAGAAAGATGGATGAGATGTAAGAGCATGTGGGTAAAAGAAATGGAAGAAGAATAAAACAAGAAGATGAATTTGAAGACAAAACTATATGAACATGTCTGGTGGGGCTACTTAGAGTGGTAAAGGTCCATAAGTTTATTTTCTGTATTTGTATTTTTCTTGATTAGTTCATACTGGAACAATATTGCTCCCTAAACACTCCCTTGAAACTGGAATTACATTGTTTAGCGAAAAAATGTCTAATTTAAAAATCTCTGTTAAAGCAAACCAGGCTG